GTTGAATGAATGAATAACACCTGAAGGAGAAATATATAAACTCCTCACGGTCTGTCTTTATATACTGCTCTGTGGTGGAGATACAAATCAGCAGATAAATGGGAAAGAGGGAGCAGAAGGGAACCCCCAGCAATATGAGAGCCTAGATCTCAAGATGACAACGAGCCCCCGTGTAATGGGGAGCCCCTCTCTACCCCAAACCAGATAGGATCAGTTTTAATCTTTTAAAGACCTTGAACTACCTACATCTAGTAAAAGAGAAGCCTATTATGTAAGTCCTTAAACTACGTTTCCAAACCACATTAAAGCTAAGGCATCTCAAGCTACGGCGAGTTTTTAAATCTGCAACAGTCATACTAAAAATGAATACAAATGCAGAATACATGTCTCCAACATTTTAGTTAATTTCTCCAAGCTAACCCAGCTTCTACTGTTAGTCTATGATGGGTGCATGCCCCCCTGACCTGGAGCCAGAAGCCCTGAAGCCTCAATAGGGAAAACAATGTACTTCTGTGGAGGGGACAGGCTAAAGAGAGACTACACCCCTGTTTGATCTCAGCAAGGCTTTATTTTATTCACAAATTGAGGGAAAAAAAAAAAGCAAAAGCTCTAGCTCCCAAGGCGTAACAGTATTCTACAAAGTACTTTAAAAGTAGTTCCGCACGGTGGGGGGCGGGGGGGGGGGGGGGTTGCTGTGTGCCCCAGTCAGTTGAGTGTCTGACTCGAATTCGGCTCAGGCAGTGATCTCAGGGTCCTGGCTCCACACTCAGTGGGGAGTCTGCTTTTCTCTCTCCCCCTCAACCCCATCACATCTCTCTCTCTAAAAATAAATAAGTAAATCGTTAAAAAATAATATAAATAAATTAAAATAAAAGTAGTTTCCGGGGCACCTGGCTGGCACAGTAGTGGAGCACACAACTCTTGATCTCAGGGTTGTGAGTTCGACCCCATGATGGGTGTAGAGCTTACTCAAAAATAAAAAATCTTTATAAATACATACATACATACATACATAAAAGTAGTTACTGCATTATACCAACTGAGTTATAATGTACCATCTTGGGCCTTTTTAAAGAGCTACTTTCTGATGTAGCACAAGACCTCATGGAAACCCTTACTCCCTGTTGGAATGTAATTGCTATACCATTCTCTGCCTAAGTAGCCACTCACCCCGGCTGTGATGAGATATTCCATCAGTCCTAGAGGGAAAGTGTACCCCTAAGTTGAGGTTTGACCTGATAATGATGGCATGTTATACTCTTTAGGGTATCAGTGACAACAAACCCATTTGCTGTCAAATCAGTTTAAAACTGACTCCTTTACCGTGTGCTCAAACATCAAATTTTGTTCCCACATAGAAATTCTTCAAAAATGTCAAGTAACTTCATAAAAATAAGTGCTATCACCAGCGTATTTTCCTTTTTTTTAGATTTTTCATTTATTTATTCATCAGAGAGAAAGAGAGGGAGGGTGCACAAGCCGGGGGGAGGGGGCGCAGAGGGAGAAGCAGGCTCCCCACTGAGCAGGGAGCCCAATGCGGAACTCAATCCCAGGACCTTGGGATCATGACCTGAGCCGAAGGCAGACGCTTAACCAACGGAGCCACCCAGGTGCCCCCAACCAGTTTATTTTCAATAGGTTGAATGCAGTTGAAAGTTTAGTGCGATGTTTATAAGGGTTAGTATCCTCTCCTCCAACATGTTGGCTGACACTTCAACCTTTTATTGATGCTGATGATGTCATTAAATGACGCCAGGCTCCACCATGCCCTTCATCAATTCTTATCAGAATTTTATAAATGAACATTGCATTCGCCAGAGCTTTGCAGTTTATTGGGTCTGATTGCATTGTTGGCATGACAAAACAGAATCTAAGTTCAGCTTGCTCCTTGGTAAAATAAAGTTTTCTTTCTTTTCTTTTTTCTTCTTTAAAATTTTTTTATAATATTGGATCTGATCTCACAATTTTTTTAACATTTATATTTCATTGATGTGAAAGAGACCATGGGAGCTTACCAAGGTCCATCATATCATAGTAAAATAATAATTTCTAGGTATAAATCATCAAAGTTGTAAACAGACTCCATTGATGAGCTTCATTAATTCATGCCACTTGATCTTTGTATTTTTCAAAGATATATATTCCAATTTCATTTCAAAGAGCATTTCTATGTCTTTATAATTAAAGATTGCCAATTTTCATGCATCCAGCTTTTTTCTTATAGATCATAAGAAGAGACAAGCTCTGGGAAACACTATTTAAAACCCAAGCCTCAACATAAAAACAAAACTACTACATTATACTTGCATTTTGCAGCCAGTAGGATAAGATTGTAATACTGATAGACCAGTGCAGGAAAATACTGATTCAATTTAATGTAGTTGTTTAATTTGAATCAATTGATTCAATTGAGTTCAATCATGTTTATTGAGGGCTATTATATGATAAGCACTCTGCTAGGCATTGAGGGCATACAAATAGGAGTAAGATGCAGAGCCAGCCTTCAGAAAGAATCCACTCGGGAACAGTGAAATGTGCATATGAAACGATGCATAATACAGGGAGACATGGCCTCAGGACCAAAGGCATGCACCTGTGAGAAAGAGCACCAGATTTTATTTGGGGGATCAGAAAAGGATTCGTTCACCAGGAAAGACATTTTCTGGCCCATGCAGGATCTTGTCTTACACACATACCACCCGTGCAAAATTGAGTTGCCCAAGCCACCTTCACCTGTGGACCAAATTGGGGTCACATTCACCTAATTTGTTTCATTTCAGTGGCTTGTGCCTCTCAGCCCAGCAGTCACTTCACTTCCCCTGCAAAGTTGCACCCTATCATTTCTGAACACTCCTTGGACAAATTATGAAATCTCTCCAAGCCTCAGTTTACTCATCTGTAAAATGATTAAAAAATGCCTTCATCTTTGAACGGTCATGAGTATTAAATGAGACAATATACATAAAATTCACAGAAAAACCATCATTATTTTATACTTGTATTCTATATCCCAACCAACATAACAGACTAATAACCCATTTTTGAGAAGAGTAGAGGGAAAGAGATGGGAGGCAACCCCGCTCCCACCCCCACTCCAAGCAGGCGTCACTTTAGGTCCAGAAGTTGAAGAATGACAGAGGGAAGAGAAGAGACGAAGACGAATTTCTCCTTTGTTTGGGTGTACTTCATGTAACAAAAAGTATTTTTCTTTTGATTTCCTTGAGATTTTTCTAGTCTATCACACAATTACATATTTATACCTCTCCACCAAATAAAAAACAAGGAAGAACCACAGAAATGTGGCAACAGCTGGACACATAGATGGACACATGGGATAGGCTGCCAAGATTTTGCCGTGCCTATTTCCAAATATCTGTCTTCACAAGCCTTCTATCAGTAATTAGAGGCATAACTCTCAGCAAGGTAGATTCAGGTTTCTAAAAACTCTCTACAATTCAAAGATAGACAAGAAAGTTATTTTCTACCACTTTTATATCTCTATACCTGCTTGTTTCAGATTGTCTAATTTTGATGAGACTAACAGATGCATTATTTGCTGTTAAGAATAAATTGTATAACGATGAGTTTATTTAGTGAACTGTTAATCATACCACAGAAAAGGGTCATGGTTTAAAAAATCAAACAAAAAAAGTGTCGTGATTTTATTCATTGTGTACTTCTGTTGGAAACAAACACATTTTGTAATGCAGTTAAACATTCCTTTGCCTTTTTTTTAAGATTTTTTTTTTTTTTAATTTGAGAGAGAGAGCGAGAGAGAGCGAGAAAGCAGGAGCAGGGGGGAGGGGAGAAGGGCAGAGGCAGAGGGAGAAGCAGACTCTGCTGAGCAGGGAGCTCAACACAGGGCTCCATCCCCAGACCCTGAGATCATGACCTGAGCCTGAGGCAGGTACTTCACCAACTGAGCCACCCAGGAGCCCCAAACATTCCTTTGTCTTTAAACATTTTGTTTTGAGATGTGTAGAACCACACGCACTTGTAAGAAATAATATAGAGATACCCCGTGTGCCCTTCACTCAGTTGCCCCCAATGGTAACATCTTGCAAAACTATAATGCAATATCACAACCAAGATATCGACATTGATGTGATCTACTGATCCTAATCAGATTTCCGCAGTTTTAAGTGTACTCATTCGTTCATGTATATGTGTCTGAGATATCGGTATTTGGTTCTGTGCAATTGTATCACATTTATGTTCCTGTCTACCACGACTGCAGCCAAGATACAAAACGGTTCTATCACTATAAGGGTCCCTCATATTGCCCCTTATAACCACATCTTCCTCCCCCTTCCATGTCTAATCCTTAGCAACTACTAATCTGTTCCTCAGTTCTATAATTTTGTCATTTCAAGAAGGTTACGTAAATGGAGTCGTGCCACATTTGACCATTTGGGACGGGTCACCCCTCATAATTCCCTTGAGATCCCTCTGAGTTGTTATGCCTATCAATTTTTACTGTATTGCTATTGTAATTCATGGTATAGAAGTATTTCAATATGCTAAACTTTCGGCTGTTGAAGGACAGTTGGGTTGTTTCCAGTTCTTGCCTATGGCTAGTAAAGCTGCTGTGGAACATTCTTGTACAAGTTTTTGTATGAGCCTTAGTATTCATTTCTCTGTGACAAATGCCTAGGAGTGCAATTGCCGGGTTGGATGGTAATTGCACGCCCAGATTTATAAGAAACTGCCAAACTGTTTTCCAAAGTGACGCTACCATTTTATATTCCCACCAGCCATGTATGAGTGATTCAGTTTTTCCACCTTTTTTTTTTTTAACATTATATGACCTTAGTCTGTATGGATGATAAAATTAGTAAATAAATACATGGCCCATATAAGAACAGCTTGTAAAAAGCCAGCCCAAAAAGTCCAAAGGGTAAAAAGGCAGGGGTCATATAAAAAAAAAAGCCATCTTATGCAACGGCCTCTCTGACTCGTCTCAGCTCGCAGGGTGGCCAGGTAACACAACAAAGGCTTCACGCTCCTAGAAAGCAGCCGCGGTGACCTAAAGCTTTGCTTGGTGTAAATTACAATAAATAATCTTTTCTTTCCAAAACAGGATTATGGCCTATAAAATGCTTCAAGTAGCCCTGTGTTCAACATTGCTTATAGGTAAGAATCCATTTCTTGTTTATTTATCATGTCTTTTACAATGATTAGGTTGATAGATAGCCCCTTTTGACTTTTTCAAAGAAATGAACAAATATGTTTTATTCACAGATCAATTCTAGAGCATTGAGAAAACCCAACTATCATGTCATGTGGTGGTTTTGAGCATGTTAGTGTTAATTGCGTGTGATCATTTTATTCCTAATTATGTATTAACGTATTAACATGTCTCTTTTGCTAGGAAATCTAGTTAAGGGCTGCCTCCAAAGAAGTGCTCTTGTGTCCTTGAACAAAGAAAAATTTCAGATGCCTTTTAGAAACTGTAATACTTACATAGTACCATTATGTGGAGACCTCAAGGTACTTTGAGAGTGTGAATTCATTAACCTTTAGAGCAAGCTGTAGCCCAGAGAAGTGGTGTTTTAAAGACAAATCAAGGAAGGTACTGAAGGTCAGATGATTTGCTGCCAAATTGACCCAATAATTCGGTGACTTCTATCTGAATGGAACTGAGAGGTAGTTTGCTTTTCTGTAACCAAAACTGAAAATACTTACAAAGGTGTAAATTATATTCACAGTTAAATCTCTACAATTTATAAATACTTCTGATGAAATGCTTGCATAAGAATAAATTTCTACTTTTATGATCAACTTGAAACCCATGCAAAAAAATCTACATAGTTTTCTTGAGGCGTGCACACACACACATACACACACACAAATCAATAAAAGGATATAGGTATATACCTAAAATATGAATCTAGATAAGTGTGTACATATATGTATGTGTATATAATTAGCCTTTTATTCTTAAGCATATAAATAATTTTAATAAAGAGTTTTAATCATCACTGTTATACTTTGCATTTGGGACATGTTTAAATAATTGATTTAGAAATTTTTAGCCAAGTTATTATTAGGCAATTATCATCAATGCGTGTGTAATCACACCTGGTTACAGCCCACATCTCCAGATGAAGAAAGTGAGGCTGGCTCAGTTTAAGTGTGTGTCTCAGGAGCACACTGTAAATTGAAGTCATGGGCTAGTTATAATCCATCAGTCATTGCTTTGCTTTGCCTGCCGATCCATGCAATTGGCTTTACAGTGGGTGATGGTAGATTAGCACAAGGCGAAAAGCACTAGTGCTAGTCTGCCTTCACCTGTGAACATGCAGGGTCAAAAATATCTGGCAAAAGGAAAACAGTCCTGCAAAATGCCTTTTAGAGATTTTCTTAAGAAACAAGTTGGAATTAATTTTAACTCCAGCTGAGATACAAATATGTCTACCTAGAAAGACAACTGGTTTGACTGATTTCACTTAAAAAATAAAGAAATAAGATTATGTGGTTAAAGTTCCTGAAATAACAAGTTGAGAATTAGAAACTAAGGACAGAGGAACACTGACACGGTGGGGTTAGCCCTTCAGATCTCAGGAAAGAAGCCTTAACTGTGTATAGGCTGAGTACACTTAAGTCTTTAGAATCAGATTCATTTGTTACATGAATAATTTATTTAACTGACATTTTCTAAATCATACAGCTCTCAAGTAGAAAATCATAGCTTGAATCAACTTTCTTCCCTTCTTCTCTTCCTCCTCCCATTTTTCATTTAAGAATGTAGCCTATTCATCTGCCCTCCCCTGGAGCTCTCTACGTATCCTAAGAAAAGAGCCGTCTTAAAAAGTTTGTTTTTATATTTAAAAAAAGTTTCCTCTGTTACAGATTAGTTGTCTAACAAATTACCTTTTTGTCCAGAACTTAATTTGAAGTAAATAGAGAAAAGATCTCATTATCCATTTTCCTAATGGGAATGCTGAAGCCAAAAATGAAGAACCTTCCCCAAGTGATTACATTTATGAGCACAGTCCTCAAATCGTTTTATTGATTTTCTTAAAATAGTAATTTATACACATTGGAACCGGTTCCCTGGTCAGAGAATTATAAGTCCAAGTGTCATGATTTGATTAAAAAACAAAACAAAACCCCTCTCTTCAGCATTTAGGTCAAGAACTGCCTTCTCCTACAATAAAGCCAGCAAATACGCATACTAATCCTTTAAGTCTTTATTCTGTGGGCAGGGGCTTTCCATATGTTACCTTAAGTCAACTCTCTAATCACTGTGCAAATAAGTGTCATGATTTTTATTTTACAGGGGAATTTAGGCTTAGGGAAACTAAGTGATGAAACCACACAGTTAATCCATGGTGGATGCCAGATTGACATGCAAATTCTACATCCAGCTCTTCTAAGAACGAAACCCTTCTTTCTGCTATGCAAACTGTCCCCTCTGGCACTGCCATGCTGGATATGGGACATGTAGCTATGGAATGGGCAAAGGAGCACAAAGCAAGGCCTCCTCCTGAGGAGGGAATAAGGCCAATATCACAGCCCTTGGTTCCACAAGAACAGGCCAGGAGTTAGGGAGCTGGATGATTTTATGTGAGTAAACAGAGCCAAACTAAGAAATAACCAGGGGCTTTCTATGACAGTTTCTAGTTGTGGTGAGGGTAGAGAGAAGTTCTAAACTCATCTATTCCACCTCCAAAGGGCACTCATCAAAATCAAACAGCCCCATTTCACACAAAGAAGAAATATGGAAAATACACGCATTTGGGACGTATTTTGCAAAGTAGAAAAACCAGTCCTTGAAGTTGACCCGTATATGGGACAATTTGGAGGTTCACGCCCATATTGTTAACCTCTGATCAGATCACATGAAGTCCAAGTATGTCTTCTGGTTTTAGACAGGGGAAGAGAACTGCCTTTAGCCCGTTTCTCTAGCATTGTTCCAGCTCATACTTTTGACTCCATGCCTAGTAACCAAGAGCAATTTGTCTTGAAGGTTTCTGTTTGTTTGGTTGGTTTGGGTTGGGTTTTTTAGATGAGAGCTTTTAAGCCCACGTTTTCTTCCCCTGGACCCAGTCAGCACCTCCAGTCCCTCCATGTTTGCCTTCTGCTCCATTCATAGAAGGAACGGCCCTTCTCAGTCATCTAGCCTTCCCCCACCATCCTGTTCCTTGGAGAGTCCGTATTTCTGGATATAGTTTTAGTTTATTTTGTAAAAACTTGTTCTTAATTTTTTCAACTCACTCAGGCTTAAGATTGATCGATGCTCTCAAGAAAGTAAGTAGTGAGAATAAACTGGGAAATATCCAAGTTAGAGAAAAATATCAGGGCCTATGACCAGATTCGTTGAGCACTCTGGGTGTTGCAGAAAAAACATTTATTTTCCTGTCCACATGGCATCATTTGTCATGACGCTGGAGTTGGAAAACCCATCAACACACGCAAGCAATGACCCTGAAGGGGTTACTATTGAATCATATAAAACACTGCCTTTCATGAGTTACAAATTTCTCTGTCCACAAAATCAAAAGCTAATAAAAGATATGCCAGCTCCAAAATATGCCCCAGGAAATTACACGGTGGTGCATGCGAGCATGTATGTGGGTGTATGTTAGCATGTTGCGAACAGGTTAAAAAAGACTGAACTTAAATTCGAGTAATACTAGTCCCTGTTTACTTTGCAAAGTACTCAACACGCCAGCAACTGTAACATCAATAAAGCCAAAGTTCCCTGAGTTAAAAGTTCATTTATGAAAGCATTTCATTAACAGTTTAGTAAGATGACCGGGTTTGAGAGCTGGTCCCAAAGTTCAGTGCATTTCTTTTTTCCAGTTGACTTCCATCAACTCTCTGCCCTCTGTCTTTTTGCTTCCCTGCTCCCTTTTTCCATGGCTTTTCACCTTTTTAAACTTTTGTTTTTGTAACTTCCCTTATTTTGTCTCTGCTTCCTCTGATTTCTTTTCTTGAATTCCCGCTTCTCTTTTTTCTTCAAACCCCAAATTTCTTCTCTCATTCTCTCTCATTAATTTTTATCTGAATTGCAGCAAAGTGAGAGAATCTATTCTAGTAAATATAACTTTTCTATCTTTTGCCATAAATTTTTGGGTCAGTGACCAAAATTTAGAGTGGGAAGAAAAAAGTAACTATTTCATATTTTATAACAAAAATTATTTATTTAACACAGAAAATAAAATATTCAACTTTAAAGATTTTATTTATTTGAGAGAGAGCGAGAGAGAGCAAGCACGAGCAGGGTGAGGGGCAAAGGGAGAAGCAGACTCCCCGCTGAGCCCAACACGGGGCTCAATCCCAGGACCCCAAGATCATGACCTGAGCCAGAGACAGACACTTAACCAACTGAGCCACCCGGGTGCCCTAAAATATTCGACTTTAAGAATATGAACCTAAACATGAGTATTTTAATTACTCACAAAATTATAACATTTCTCCTACAGTTAGTGAGATCTTAGGAAATTTTACTGTACTGCCAAGATGTCTGTAGAGACTGTTCTCCTGATCCTCTTTTGTCCTTAATTCCTCCTGACCATTTATACTCCAGTTTAATACTTAATTTATGTGCCTGGGCAGTTATTTCATCTTTTTTCTAAAGACATAAACATTTTAAGGGAAGGGATTAAGACTCAGTCCAATAAAAATAGTGAATAATAAATGTTATTCTTTCATTGGTTATGCTGAACACTGAGTGCTTTGCTTTCAGCATCCCGTCCCTGAGCATTTTGGAGAACTTGTGGCAGGACTGTCATGCTTATTCTCCATCTCTGGCCCCAGGCATCGGGTAGCACTGCAGAAAGCAGTATCACCCAGCCTCTAAGGGAAGTAGGAGCTGTGGCCCATCCTGTGGATTTGTCAGGCATTTCTGTGTCTTCTGCCCCTGCTAAATCCCACCACGTTTATTCACAGACGTAGAATTCCTTCCCTCATGTAACCGTCTATGAATAGCCACAGAAGTCACAGTCGTGGCTTTCCAGGGGTGACAAGCTCCTGCTGGTTGGAGCGCCCTGTCTGTGCTGTATTTTTTTCCCCCTGTTTCTTAGGGAGGCTCTGAGACAACAGACCCGTTGGATTCTCTGCACCACCTTCTGACACATAGAACTCTCACCCCCCTTCTTGGCAGGCCAAGCTTTTGATCAAGTTGAAAAATAAACCAAAGGTGAACATGGAAGGCAATCAGTTCCCTTTATTACTGAGAAAGGCTAATTTGGAAAATATAACATAGTATAAGATATAAAGGGCCTGGTGACTGGACCCCAGAATTTGGCAAATTTCATATCCAGTTGCAGGTTGCAGAACCAGAAGAGAAAGGGTGATCTCGGAGGGCAGCTAGCTCTCAAGAGGAAGAAGGAAAAGCTAGCTGGACGTGCCAAGTTATGCCTCTTGGACTTACCAGTTACGGGCGGGCACGGCCCCTTCTGAGAGGCAGAGTCTACAAAGGGGAGAAGGGTGGCCTGAGGTTACTCTACATGAGCTCACTCTACAGGCAATAGACAGGACTCTGCTATCAGACTCTGTCCTTCCATTCTGTATTGTACATTTCATATCAGGCTTTCTGATCTTTTTAGCATATAGGTTCCTACCACAAGGGTAATCTTCATGGTCACGTGCACAGTATGAAGACTATTCAGTTATTTCTCCACTATCAAATTTAAAGACTCTTTTTCAGCCTTCTCTGGGTGATGGCAAAATAGGGAAGCCTTCCATTTCTAACTGTATAGCTTCTGTACCAGCGTTACTGCTCCTCGGCCCATGGTGGGCACTCATCTCTGTGCATAAGGTGAATACATTTTTATTTGGATTGCTTTCATTATTGACTAGGTCTACTTTGACTTCTCTTTCACTTATTTCTGTCTATCTCAGTGCTCAATTTCTCAGCATGTAAGCTGCTTGGCAGGACTAGGAGCTATACCCATTTAGCATATTCTATATGCTTCTGATGCCCTAATACCATGCAGAGAAAGTAAGTTTCAGTTAATGACCTATTGGTTATGAGTATATTCCAGTTAAAAATATTAGAGCTGCGAGAGATCTCGGTTGGCTTCCTATGACTCAGAACAGGAAATGGAGGGACAGGCGTAACCAACTAATAACCCAACTAATCACGGGCAGGGCTGGGATAAGACCCCCCATCTCGGATCCTTCTTGGCTTGTGTGGCAAGAGCTGTGATCTCCAATGTCTCTATACTCTGAAGTGTCTGCCTTATTTCAACTGTACCGAATTTTCTGCCGAGAATATTCGAGACATGTTTAGCTAGCAGAACTAAGCTTGACAGATCCTATTAAAACTATTATGATACAGGATGAAAGGAAGGAGGGTATGTAGGGAGTTGGAAAGAAAAAGAAGAAGGTTTTTTTATAGCTTATGATTTTAAAGTTTAAAAAAGGCATTAACCTGGCTGATACTGCCTACCTTAAAAAAAAAATTAAAAACCAACAAAGTAATAAAACTCAAGGTTCGGTTTTCAAACCCCAGCAGTATTATAGAGGCTTACAAACACAAACTGTGATCTTGCTCTCACTAACTTTCAAGGTTGATCAGGCGGAATGAAAAAGGGAGGAGGAATTTCTCAAGCAGAGAGGATAATAGCATGCCCTTCTGTATTACTTGCATTTATTTCCAGCTCTGCCAGTGACTTACTATGTGACCTTGAATGAGTCATTTCATCTCTGTGTGTCAATTTTCTCATTTGTAAAGTAGGATAATAAATACTACTTTCTGTCTCTCTCGTGGGTGATGCTATTATCACCATCAATTAATATTTATTGGATGCCTGTTGGGCGCATAATGCTGAGGTAGGTGCTTTGTTCAGGGGCAAGGGTGGGGGGGGGACATCGTATCAGTGAAACATTTTCCATGAGCAAAAAGAGAGAAGATTTACAAAAGACAGAATTATTAGAGCTTAAAATAGCTATGGTTTATATTTTAAGGCATGCTTCTCTACCAAGATTTATGTAATAGCATTTTTTTTTCCTTAGCGATTGTACAATGCACCAGACAATCATGGTGCAGAATATTGGTTTTACTTTTGGATGATTCCAAGTAACACTATCTTAAGTGGTTAATGTACTTTCTTTATTTAGTTGTCAATTATATCTTAAGCATAATTTATGTAGAAACATTTATTAGAGGGGTGCCTGGGTTATTAGTTGGTTACTCCTCTCCCTCCATTTCCTGTTCTGAGTCATATGAAGCCAACTGAGATCTCTTGCAGCTCCAGTAGGATCAGCAATTTCTCTGTGACCCCTCCAAGCCAATATCAGAATTAATCACTTCCCCCTCAAACGGTCTGGTCACAGTATGTTTCCTTATCATTATTTATGAACTCTGAATACAATATGAGTTCCTTAGCAGCAAGGGTTGTTTTTTGTTTATCTTTCTACACAACGATGATTATCCAAGCAGGGATGAGGGTGAGGCAAGTGGAGATCTTACGGCACAAAATTTGTGTAAGCTTGAGAGCAAGTTTCTTCTTCTATTTGCGGACTCACTTGGCTTCACCTGGGTCTCCCCTCTGGTGATTAGCAGTTTATCCTGACATCAGTAGGCACTCATAATGCATCGTATTAGTTATCTACTATGACCTAACAATTTCCCCAAACCGAGCAATTTAAAACAAGAAACATTTATCATCTTACAGTTTCTGAGGAATTTGGGAGTGGCTTAGGTCAGTGACTCTGACTCAGGAACTCTCATGAGATTACAGTAAAGATGTCAGTGAGGGCTGTTGTGATGGAAGGCTTGACAAGAACGAAAGCATTAGGTTCCCAGGTGGTTTGTTTATGTGGCTGTTGGTGGGAGGCTTCAGTTCCTTGACAGACGGGACTCTCTTCAGGGCTGCTTGAGGGTCCTCACAACATGGCAGCTGTTTCCATTAGAGCAAGTGATCCAAGAGACGTGCGAGACAGAAGCTATAATGCCTTTTATGTGCTTGCCACAGAAAGCACACACTGTCATTTCCACAGTATCCTGTGGCTACACAGGTCCACCCTCCTAAATGAAAGAAGACCACAGGGGATCTGAATACCAAGAAGGCAGTGGTCTTTGGGGGGCTTCCACAGGCATGCTGGTTTGATTGTATTGAATTAGATGACCAGAAACAGGCCAATATTACTTCTATCATCTGTTACTAATATCTACTGAAAAGTTGACTTCTATCTTTTATTTTTAAATCACGAATAACTAAAATTGCTAACATCCTATTAATAGATAATGTGTCTGAGCCATTTTTTTATCTTCATCACTAGTAATATTTTGCACCTAGAGACAGCTGATTGATGTATAATATCCACAGAGGTTGTCATTTTCAATAGGTAGGCAGTTAGAACCAGAACTTAGTGGGATAACAAATTAAACTAGAAGTAATAGAGCTAATAACTAGAACCCTGCTTAGTGCTCAAGGTCAAGCTTGGAAAAGCATGAGATCATAAGGCATGTGTAAGTAATGATTGTCTCTTTTTTATAAATGCATAAGGCTTTTTTTAATATTATTACTTTTCTTTGGCCCCAAGCATTCCTGTCTCTTAGTCATAATATTGCACAGTGGCTTTAAGGGGAGAATTCCATCTCCCTTTCCTACTAGCTATGTGGTCTTGAACATGTTATCTAACTTTTCTGTGATGTAGTTACCTTGTCTGCAAAATGAGGTTCTTGACAGTGCTACTTCCTAGGTTTGTTGTATTATATAAGGTAATTCAGGTAAAGTATTTTTTAGTGCAATGCTCAATAAATGTTAACTATCATTATTATTTATGTGTGACATCAATACACACACACATGCACAAATAATCTAGCTACCTCTAACCATTGTCTTTTTACATCCATTTTAAAGATTCCCAGTGCCACATCATTCCTCCAGCTTAACATGTAAAGTCTTATTCCTTCTCCTATCCTGCTAAATTTAATCTTTTCTTTAAGGAATAGATTCAGCAATTTTCCTGACCATGAAAATGTCTGTTTGTGCCCCAGAGCCCCAAAGTTCAATAAGGACACCCTCTCTTAAACTCCCTTAGCACAATCAAATCCTATGTTGCCTTGTTTTATTTTGAATCTTGTACCCCTCTCCCTCCTCCCCACAGAGGAGAGGTTTCATATCTTATAGTTCACTGTAACTCTGGTCAACAGAGTCTTGTTAATGATGAAGCTATAGAGTACTTAACATAACATTTGTAATAAATGCTTCTTTATCACAAGCAATGAACAGATTGTATTGTTACCACAAATAGGTCAGGAGTGTGTTCCTCCCTAATATTGATTCAAATTACAACTCTGAATGTGATTGTGTTTTATTTGGAAATGAAATATAATATAGACTGTTAAAATTTCAAGATACTAAAAAATTCTGGATTTTAAAAACAATCATCTTTTTTTTCCCCTTAATCCTGGACTGGGAAGGAGTACAAAATGCAAACTTCTTCAAATTCAGTGACAGATCTATCAATACTAACAATTTAAACCACAGTGCCAGATTTGGAAGCAGTCTACTTCAAACTGAAAGATATGTTCTCTTTTGGAAGGCTAGGAAAGGAAGATTAAGATTGTTGACTGCCTGGTTTGAGCCAGCTGGTTTATAGCCGTTAATAGACCCAACCCTTAGGGTAATCCTATGTTATTGTGTTACTGCGTTATTATTATAACTTTTTACATATAAGAAAACTGCAGCTTGGAGAAATTAAGCAACTTGTCCAGAAAAGTGATAGAGCTGCAATTTGAATCCCAGTCTGTGGGCTCACATGCAGGTACAGAAGGCTCTAAAAATCTTTTCCATCCAGCACATGGCTTTCATGCTGCACTATATGCGGGACACATAGAGTGGTGATAGCTCAGTGATGGGGGAAGGCTGAGGAGCGGTCATCTCCCTCTGCACATAGCTTTCCCAGGGCTCCCTTCTCAGGCCCCCAACCTCCCAAACACCACAGCTGTGTCTCTTTAAGAAGATAAACATTGAGATGTAAACTATTGCCTTAAAAGATGCTGTCCTCTTGGACTCTGAATTACAGGAGCATTGGGAGCGCCATTTTTGTTGGAGGACCCAGCAAACCAGTTCCTACATCTCAAAAGACATATATATTTGCAGGATTACTGGGACCCAGATCAGAATCCAAATATGTGGGGCAACTCGCTGGCTGATCAGGTATTTGCATTAGAAAAAATGCATCATCTATTTTGCTGAGTAGGCACTGCATCAGCAGGCATCAACACAGTACCAGCCCAACCCACGAGTTTTTTCTCTCTAGCCACCCTGAGCTATAGCTGCCATTTCCTCCCCATCAAGTGCCTTTTGTCTGGTAAACTCCACCTTTTCCTTCAAGACTAAAGTCAAATGTTCCCTCCTTTTTGAAACTTTTCCCTTCTTTCCTGGATGACATTTGTCCTTCTTTCTTTTCTCCCCTTTGCATGTCATTAACATGTGAATAGCTCTATAAATGTCACCCTGGAATTAGTTGCCTTGTACACCCAACCTCCCTTACCTAGGCTGCAGACGTAAGGTGCACATCTTATCCATCAAGGTCATTATTCTCAGAAACTTTCAAAATGACTGTTACTCAGTCAAATCTCAGTAGATTATTGCATGTTTGGGTGGGTGGATAAATGGATCACGGTCACATTTTAGTTCCCTTTCAGTTATTCAACAGCTTATTTTCCTCTGGGATAATTAGGCAAAACTTTAAGATCATTCCTTCATTTGCTTGCCTTTTGTACACTTTTCTATTCATTTGGAAGTCTCACTCCAAGAGAAATAAAGAAGAAATGTGCCTTAGCCAGTTTTATTCCATGTTTACTTTTTTGATGGAAGGAACTCCAGGCCAAATAAAATTGCTGAATTGTCTGAGGATTTCAATTTTTCATGATTTCCCTCTTAAAATTTAGCAGTTTAGAAAACAAAAATGTATAACAAATTAATCCCTTCACTTGTTTGTCCTTTTTCTCTTTACACACGTATCACGTTCTATCACCAGGCTAGAGCGTTGTATAAAGTCACTAAAAAAAATGGAATGCCCTTGTTTTTCTGGGGCATAGGTCCTATCCTTACTTTGCGTGGCTGAGTTTTAACTGGTCTACCAGGATTGGCTCGTTTCTGGTTAGCATTTGCTGATGAAATCCACCAGCTTGAATAATGCATCGAGTTTTATGCATGCTTTTCTCCAACAGGCATCATTTAGAGGTATTAAAACCAGACATTTGTTTATTTGGCAAATTAAATTTTACGTAAGTGTCTTCTTTAGGGAATACTGAAATTTTCAAGTACAATGCTGCCTCTTAATTGTAGACCAGTGCTATGATCACGTGACAGATACTATAATGTAACAGGACACTACCACATTGGTTCACACAGTGGCCCCAAAATACCATAAAACAGTTAAGCATTGAAGTATACAGGTCACTAAAAGTATGTTAACCAAACCTTATTGGGTATTATTCTTCCACTCTACTTCTCTCAGTCTTTTAGGATTATCTCTACAATAACCTGAATAACTGATATAGCACGTGCTTGCCATACTCAGAGATCATGACTTAAAGTTTCTTTTGTTGCAGGTTCATGAAACATGGACTGCTTTGAAAACAACAGCACAGTATTATCTGAATGTGAATGCCTTCACTTCTGACATATCCACTGCCCAGTAAATGTGCTTTGATGGTTAAACCAGGAGAGCAAAAACAGCGGGAGTCAACATAGCAATGGACCCAAACCATGGGCTTTGGAGACCTGGAGGCAAATCCGTGCCACTTACAAGATTATTTAACATGTCCATCTCATGCAGCTGTGGAAAGGAGTAAATATGAAAACCCAAGTAAAGACCTAGAATTAGAAGTTCTCAATAAATTGTAGCTCTTAAAATGAGAACTAAAATAATGACTATAGTAATAACATTTATCAAAAAGGGGCTTTTATGGACAAGGAAATAAAAAACAAAAAAGTAGTGTCATTAAAACTCACTGTTGATAGCTCACTTTCTACTGTCTGCTTTTTGAAAGCGCTCTCTTTTTAATTAAAGGAAGAGGGAGCTCTCAAATGGAGTTGGTCCCCCCTTTTTTCTTCAATACTTTTCACTTTTTAAAGCCAGCCTATTTTAAGATCGTGCTTTTGAAACTTTTCTATCAAAGGTGTATTGCTAAGTGCAGTAGAGAATACCATCTTAACTCCTATTTGGGGGTAGATGATGACCAGGAACCCACTGGAAACATTCATCTGTAAGTGGAGAACTCCTTAGGAGTTTTGTCAAATTTGTGCAGGTTTTGCATTCTAGTCCATAATATATTGATATTTATTTCAATTTGAAACAACATTTTTAACTTTCTGGCCGGGGACATTTATTACTGTTTTCCAATAAAACGGAAAAATTGACTCTAAAGAAAAGTGGACTACATTTGGTTTTACAATTGTCCTAATCACATTTTCAACAGCAGGTATGTCAGAAAAATCAAACATGAAGAAGCTGCAATGTGAAGACTTCAGCCCAGCACTTTCCTTTTCAAGAGGACACTGGCAGCTACTCAGTATTCCCCATTTCCTATCCCCTGCCCTAGAGGCCTTTGCAGTGAGAAATTTGAGGCTGATGCATAATTTATGCACTTAACTATTATCCATTTCCAATACATACACAGAAATTTTTAAATCAAAACACAACTGAATGGGCAAAAGAAAGAAGATAAATCATTTGGGTTTGCAGTAAGAAAGTTAAGATTGTACATGAATCCATCTCAGGGTTTCAACAATAGTATGCATTTGCTACCACAAAGTTCCATTCTTTGATCATTTAATTAAAAAATTAGAGAATGCCCAAGTATTGATCAGCATTCTCCAGAGAATCAGAATCAATAGAATGTGTATAGGCCGAGAAAAAGATTTATTGTAAGGAATTGGCTCCTGTGATTATGGAGTCTGGCGAGTCCAAAAGCTGCAGGGTAGGCCAGCAGGCTGGAGACCAGGGAAGAACCAATGTTGGAGTGCAAGTCTGAAGGTCATCAGGCCAGAGCTCTAGCAAAGAGCTGATTGTGTGGTTTGAATCCTAAGGCCATCTGTTGGCAGAATTCCCTCTTGCTCATGGAAGGTCAGTTTTTTGTTCTATTTAGGCCTTCAATTTATTGGACGGGTCCCATTCACATTATGGAGGGCCATATGCTTTGCTCAAAGTCCACCAATTTAAATGCTAAGTTCATCCAAAAACACCATCACAGAGACATCCGGAATAATGTTTGACCTCATACTAGGTACAGTGGCTCAGCCACATTGACACATACGTTAATTATTACAACCTGTATTATGTTATTTAGATTGTACATACGTGTGTGTGCGTGTGCACACACACTCAAAGCTGTGGTGGAAGCAACATGTGGAGGAGAAAAAGAAAAGGACTTTAATTCATTCATTTTGTTCAGTATAATACAACAAAGAAGCTGGGGGAGTTGTGAGCCACCAATACTGTGAAATTATGTTAGCTGCCAAGGTAATTTTGATTTAGGGAGCACTAGAAAGCAGTTTTACCAAGAGGTTGTCATCAGATTAAACAAGCTTGGAAATAGGGTTTCTTATTCAAACATAATTTCATGAGAAATTACTGGAAATTTATATGATACCAGAAAACAAACAAATGAAAGCATTCTTGGTCTACATAAAATAATTTATCTAGAAAAGCAACAGTTAACTTCCACACAGCTGAGCAAGAAGTGGTGAGTGTTCCATTTTTTTAGAGTAGGTTTTTTAGGATTTAAGAAAACCTAAGTACCACATATTTAGTGTCTACATGCAAAATTAGTTTCGACCAGAACAACTCTTAATTCAGTGTTTAAAGAAATTGATTGTATTGAAGGACCAATTATCTGGCTGACTCAATTTAACTGATTTTTTTTCAAAATGGTAAGTGATTTGTGTGTGTGTGGTGGGGGAGGGTGTCCTCTGATTTGCTTTAAGTCTGTATCTATTTTATAAACTCTATGTAAAAGTCTGCTTATTTCAAGGCTAAAGACCCATTTAACATTTTTAAGAGCCCAGAACAAACTACAGTAATTGCACAATATTAGGGAAAATAGAGAGGATCAGAAACTACCCCTTTCCTCACTTCCTGAGACTCTATATAGCCTCTGCAACTGGATGTTCTCAGGTTCTACTGCAGCATTAAGAACATAAATGCTCTTGGGATGCCTGGGTGGCTCAGTCATTAAGCGTCTGCCTTTGGCTCAGGTCACAATCCCAGGGTCCTGGGATCGAGTCCCACATTGGGCTTCCTGCTCAGTGGGGAGCCTGCTTCTCCCTCTGTCTCTCCTGCTCCCCCTGCTTGTTCCCTCTCTTTCTCTGTCAAATAAATGAATAAGTAAAATCTTAAAAAAAAAAAAAAAACATAAATGCTCTGGGGCGTCTGGGTGGCTCAGTCAGTTAAGCGTCTACCTTCAGCTCAGGTTATGATGTCAGGGTCCTGGGATCGAGTCCCGATTCCTCTTGCCCATGCTTGCTTGCATGCATGCATGCTCTCTCTCCCCCCCCAAAAAACCAAAAAAAAAACAAAAAACAAAACAAAACCAAAAACCATAAATGCTCTGGTGACTGAATTCTTCTGAAGTAAGTTTCCATGCTGAGGTCTAAAGGGAAGCAAGCTAAGTCCAGTCCTACAGATCCCATTTTACAGATAAAAACTAAAAACCCAGAGTCTTCCTTTTCCCCTTCCACTATGTGAGGATTTAGCAAAAAGACATCTTTCTATGAACCAGAAAGTTGGCCCTCACCAGACACCAACTCTCTTGGCACCTTGATTTTGGACTTCCCAGACTCCAGGACTATGAGAAATAAATTTCTGTTGTTTATAAGTCACCCAGTCTATGGTGTTCTGTTATAGCAGCCTGATCAGACTAAGACACTTTCTTATATCAGTAGCAGGACAAACAAATAAGATGCAATTGGGGCGCCTGGGTGGCTCAGTCGTTAAGCGTCTGCCTTCATCTCAGGTCATGGTCCCACAGTCCTGGGATGGAGCCCCACATCGGGCTCCCTGCTCCTCAGGAAGCCTGCTTCTCCCTCTCCCACTCCCCCTGCTTGTGTTCCCTCTCTCGCTGTGTCTCTCTCTGTCAAAAAATAAATAAAATCTTAAAAAAAAATAAGATGTGATATAATTTATCTACATGCTGTCCAGTGAATCAATAAGAGAACTGAATAAGAACTCAATGATATTTTTCATTTCTGGACTTGAGTTTCACCAACACATCAGAGTCAATCCCAAAAGATATCCATCCTCCTGTGCCAATTCATTGTAATTTAAATAGAATAACTAATGGATGGGAGTACTGTACATATAGAACAAATTAAAAATGAAGGTATTTATTTTCATGTGTTGATTTTTACTTATTCCATTTATTTTCCTCGAATTGATCTAAAACATCTCAGGCAACTGAATGAGGCAAAGAATATATATATCTCACACTGTTATCTTCAATGATAGTGACAGCCGGAATTAATTTTATTGAAAGTAATTTAGCATTGACTGGTTAAATATACAAACCACCAGTCTGAAGCAGAGATATTGCCAGACTCCTTCAAATTAGAGACAAAAAAATAAATAAATGTTTGTGGAGATTACAACACAAATTGGAACTGTCTTAGAAGGCTGTTCAAATGTAAAAAAGAAATAAATTATCTAAATCCAAAATATTTTATCCCATCCATCAGTGACAAAAGTTGCAGCATTTTCTTCCACTGATCATAATGTGAGAAAGCAAGCTAATTATTTTTTAACAGACAATTTCAGGAAAGGTATGCCTTCATAGCCCTACCCCCTTTTGCTCCATCAAAAGTATATTTTACAAGGGATTCTTTGATGATCTTGAATCAGGCAGTAACTACAGAGAGAAAAAAATTACCAGGACTTGTAGAGTTGAAATTTTAAATACCTTTAAATACCATACATAGACTCTCCAATATTTTTCTGAGACACTTCTGTTTAATTCCTGGTTCTACCCCTTCTTGGGGGAAGTGAGGGATGTAAGAATGTAGCCTCTGGAGCCAGAGGCCTGGAGTCATAGCCCCCTCCGGTGGCTGAGTTTCCTATCTCTGAAATAGAAATGATAAAAGCACCAGCCTCAGCTTCAGTCAAGTGGAGTGGGGCTTGCAGGAGCTAAGCTTCTGGCACATAATAAGCCCTCTACAAATACTTGCTTGCAATAATAGAATGTACATTATCTCCATTTTGTTTTTCAAAATAGTGTTAACTGTTAGGAAAAGTTTTCATCTAATAAACACCCAAACGGCTATTGCTCATTTTTTTTTTTTTTTTTAAAGCTAGAAACAAACCTGATTATGATAGCAGTGTTAAAGAAAATCCCACCAGGGACCTCAGACAATTTTGTTTTACCATCTGAATTGCAGGAGCTTTTTGATTCACATACTACCACAAATCACTTTCCCTTAATACGCCATAAAATGGTTACCCAAATGATGACAAGCAAGAAATTAAAATTCAGGGAGCTCTCAGTAGTTGGTATTTCCAAGCAGATTAATCTTACTATTGTTCTGCTTTTCTAAAAAATCTCAAACAGCTATCCCACAGCTCTACGTTTGTGAGCCTGTATGTTTGAGGCACTACGACTACCTTGTGCTAGGGGGCCAAAGAGGAGTGGGGTCACTCCCTGCTCCTCAGGCTCTCCAGGGCCTCACAGGGAACTGAGGAGTCTCCATATGCTCACACTCTAATGACGGCAGGGCCACA